TAGGTGCACCAAGGAAAATACCTACTAGGCACATTGGAGGGATCCATCCTGGTTCTTTGCCTCCTCCCTCCCTCCCTCCCTCCCTCCCTTCCATTAATTACTTTGTTCCTCTACTTCTGTTCCACTACTTAGTACTTAATGCATTCTTTTTTGCTACTGGTAGTTTCTTCATTGCTATTTTATGGACTAAGTACCAATTCATAATAATGACTATACCATGATTCCTAATGGATATTTTCATGCTGTAATGTTCCTTCTGGTACCTGGGACAGTTTTTGGACTTACTATTTGTCCTTATTGCATGGTGCATATCATTCAATGCAATCATGAGATTGTTTGTTTATATATTGTTTGTTGGTTTCTTTTGCTACATACTGGAGTCTTGCATCTAACTAGGCACAGTGCCTCTGTATTGTTAGTTCAGGATGTTTGCCCCAATACAAAAAAGTGCTTGCTTCATATAAAGAAAAAAGAAAAGTTGGTTAACTAAGTACTAGCTTGTGATACATTGATTACTAATTTATATATTTGTAGTTTCTGTGCTTGACTCAAGGCAATTCTTCTAGTGAGTGGTCAACTGTATATTAACCCAATTTTCCTACTCCACCTGACTCTTGTGCTACAGATCTCAGTTTTGAAAGGTGCTCAGAGTCTCAGAGTCATTGAGGAGAACCCCTGGGTACATGGCTTTGCACTGAGGGGGAAAGACCCACAAACTCTTAGCCTACACATTTCCCATAGGGCACTCTAGACAGACACAGATCTCATATGTGTTGACTGCATAGACAATCCCTTAAAGCGTTAAATGTACAGATCTGCCTTCTTTCTTTTTTATTGTAACATCCAAACACTGCAATCTATGCCTGTCTACTCAGAAATAAGAAAACACCACTGAGTTAAAAGGGGAATTCCCATCCCATGTAAATTAATATTGGATTGCTGTCATAGTATCTGCCTTGTGACACACTTTTCCCCCCCAAATTCATTTGGCCCTGACCATGCCAGCCTTTAGAAAGAAGACCTGGTTCTTCTCCTAAACACTGTTTTACACTCATTGTCTGTCCTTGACTTATTATACTTTTTTATAAGTTGTATTATTTTTACCATCTTCATTTGTATCTGATGTTTTTAACCCTGGTTAGCTGCTGAGAGTCATCTGGTGAGTGGGCAGCCATATAAATTGAATAAAAGAATGAATGAATGAATGAATGAATGAATGAATGAATGAATGAATGAATGAATGAATGAATGAAGCATACTCCCATGTCTGAAAAAAGTAGCCAATTCCTCGCCTCTTTGTTCATGTGTATAAACTTAAAATAGTAGAATCCACTCTGTCTAGTAACACACAAAATGTGTTGCAGGGTGTTCTGATTCCTTAACCAGAGTGGTCCTGTTTATAATCCCAGTCAGCCACCCTTCCTCCTTCCCAGATATTATATAGAAGTCTCATACAGGCCATTTCATTCTCCTCTGCTCCCAGTTTTCCACTGTTCTTTCCAAGTTAACACTTACTTCCTGACAACTACTGAGTATGTTTGCTTCTTATTGAGCCTGTCTAATTGCAGGTCTCCTTTTGTATTATGCAGCCCTTGGTTGTCTATATGCATAGTAGTCCCAGACTTTTGTGTCTGTGTAGCTTCATATGGAAACAGCATTCCCATAACTATGAACTAACGTGATATAGTGCTAGAATGAGTCTCTTTCTCTGTAGTTCTTAGTCATGCAAAAATGCTGCAAGAGAAAATATTTCAGGTAGCTTCGTTTGCTTTCTAATGTTTTGTTATTGACCCAGTGCGGTACCCAGGTTGGTGTTAATCAGCTCTCAGATATTTCATTTGATCTGGATAATAGTATCCTGCCCTCAGGATTACTGATTAGCCAGTGGGAGTTGTTCTCATGATGTATCACATTTATCTTGTTTCATTTCTGAGTACCTTGCCATTCAATATCCTGTTATAGTTATAGAGTGTTATGAAGCTGAAGGACTCCATTTAGATTTTGTGGTCCACATTAATCTTTGAGGTCATAATAAACATTGGGTGATTGTTTTTCCCTTTTTGCCTCAACAACTTAATTATATTTCACTGTAGGCTAAAAAAGTATCCTGATAAAGTATAATATCAGAACTTTTCAACAGAGCCTTTCACCATTGTTTAAGGAGAAAAATCATGATGGAAGCATAGAATCAACTGTCTTGCTAAAATGTTCATCATTTTACATCTCAGTTTCTTTCTCCTCATCTTTCCTTTTTTATTACTAAAGTAGTAGAATCATTCATTATCAGGTTAAATATTGTTTCACACAAATAGTTTTCCCTTATCTAGATCAGATAGAAAGACCAGCAACTGTGTTAGAGGCTTTTTGGCATCTGTATATGAATTTTAATTATTTCCATGATCCTGCATGATCTCTGCATTACTACTGAATTAGTTTCAAGCTGGAACCCTTTTGCACCACTAGAGCAAGATCCTATGCCCGCTGTAAAATTAAAAATAAATTGTGATGTAACATTAGTCTTGCCCCACTAGAAGACCACTTTTAGTGTTGTTCTTATCTTAACAGTGGGATTCCTTGGATGAATTTGATGTTATGGCAAAAGAAGTGCAGAATCCTGAGTTGGCACAGGATCTGTCCTGGCTCCAATAAAAATTAAACATTGTAGCTGACCACCCTGCACCCAATAGCAGACTGGATGTTTTAGTTAGCTATTTATAATCTACCATAAGAAATAGAAAAGCTGCAAACAAGAAACATAGGGATCTTACTCTGAAATGGGTGATATGGGGCTTTATCACTGCATAGCACTTCAGGACTTTAGGGGATATTTTGTACAATCTAATGTAGTTTAGCCCTTTGCCACATGAATTAATTTATTATCCATGCAGCCAGTTCCCTGCAGAATTAGAAGAGTAGCTATCAGAGATGTATTATTCTGAAAGAGAATCTTTGAAATGACACAGAGCCTTTCAGAAATCTCCATCCAAATTGTGCAGAGAGAAGAAATTAGCCAACAATTTCCCAGGGGCAGGACTCCTGGACCAAAAGGTTATTGAATGTCTTCCCCCGGTATTTAACCAAAATGTAGGAAGCCAAGGATGCTGTGCAAAGCACTGGAGAGAATATTGTATAATGAAAAACAGAATATTCACTCATACTCCTTGGCTGCTTTGTGGTTTAATACATGAAAAAAGACAACGTATTATAT